ACTATTTGTGCCCATGGGATTCCTGCTTTCCTTGCCCATCCCAATCCCTCATTCCCATCCCCCTGGGAACAATCTAATTGCTCTTTTCCTGGGAATTTTGCAGTTACTACAACACCAAGTCGGTGCTGCTGTGCCTGGGGATCACAGCCCTGGTCTGTCTGTCCGTCACCATCTTCAGCTTCCAGAGCAAGGTGGGACTGGGGGAGGGGAGGGGACACGGCCGGGGTAGGATGGGGAGGGATGGGAATGTCTGGAAAATTCTGGGTACAGGAACAACCCAAATTGGGGTGGGAATGGGGCTGGAAGGTGCTGATGTGTGGGAATAAAATGGGATTTTTGGAGGACTGAGATGTGTCAGGGATGTCAGTGGGGCTGGAAGATGCTGATGTGTGGGATTTTTGTGGTTTGGGATGTAGCAGGGGTGTAGATGGGGCTGGAAGATGCTGATGTGTGGGAATAAAATGGGATTTTTGGGGGATTGGGATGTGGCAGGGATTTAACAGGGCTGGAAGATGCTGATGTGTGGGAATGAAATGGGATTTTTGGAGGACTGAGATGTGTCAGGGATGCCAGTGGGGCTGGAAGATGCTGATGTGTGGGATTTTTGTGGTTTGGGATGTAGCAGGGGTGTAAATGGGGCTGGAAGATGCTGATGTGTGGGATACAATGGGATTATTGGAGAATTGGGATGTGGCAGGGATGGAAATGGAATCCCACACGATGGGATTTTCCATGGGTTGGGATGTGCCATGGGTGTAAATGGGGCTGGAAGATGCTGATGTGTGGGAATAATCTGGGATTTTTGTGGATTGGGATGTGGCAGGGATGCCAGTGGGGCTGGAAGATGCTGATGTGTGGGATTTTTGTGGATTGGGATGTAGCAGGGATGTAAATGGGGCTGGAAGATGCTGATGTGTGCGATACAATGGGATTTTTGTGGATTGGGATGTGTTAGGGATGGCAATGGGACTGGAAAATGCTGATGTGTGGGATAAAATGGGATTATTGGAGAATTGGGATGTGGCAGGGATAGAAATGGGATGGAAATCCCACACAGTGGGATTTTCCACAGGTTGGGATGTGGCAGGGATGTTAATAGGGCTGGAAGATGCTGATGTGTGGGGATAAAATGGGATTTTTGGAGGATCGGGATGCAGCACGGATTTCAGTGGGGCTGGAGGAGGCTGTGTGGGGGTGCACTGGGAATTTCAGAGGGTTGGGCTGTGGGGTG